GTCGAATGTCTATGTATAGTATGGCTGGAAACACACCCACACACACAGAATACAGACACTGATGTTGTTCAGATATGCCTGCTTAAGAATATCACGTGTATTTGTAATTGCATATTCATGAATGATTGCTTGCTGACAATAAAAAGGGCTCTAGCGAAGGAATCAGTTGAAGTTGGTTGAGTTCAGGTGAAGGAATCTTTTCCTCAACTTTGGCTGACTTCCCTCGCAAGCCACAAACACGGAGAGTGCCTTCTTGCCTTGTTTGTCGTGCAGTTGTTGATCTCGCGTTCCAGCGGGGTTTGTGCCAAGATAAACCCAACACTGTTAATACGAGAAACTTCAGAACAAGGTGACGTAGGATTTTGAAATCAGTACCATAGATGTGTCTACCAGGAGGCTGGCGGTTGCCAGTATTTTCTTCTGTCATTTTTTTCTTTATGTACATTTATATGCGAGTCTGAACAGACTTGGGTGTGAACTGCAACTTGACTGGTAGGGGGAGGCCTGCAACCATGATGCTGCAATTTTGGTTTCATGTGTGTCTTAAAAAAAGCCATAGCCCTACCAATTACAGTTTAACCATACTGGCTTATAGCATGGTGGAACTGTACATGGTAAGACTGATGCTACTGTTTTCATCCTAGTTGAAAGCATGCATTGTGTGAGGTTTTAAATGGACTTTTCCTCTGTGTTGTGTCTTTCTGTCACAGGATGGAGTGATGGTACTCAGTGCAACACATCGCTATAAGAAGAAATATGTCACCACTTTGCTTTATAAGCCCATCTGATGAAGCATTCTTTTCTATATTTGGAGCTGTTGTTAACTATACACCGAGTGTACAAAATGCCAGCCACACATTTTTTTTTTTCCAAAAAAAATCTAGTGTATATTCCTTCCAGGTTTCACCAGTTAGATCCATTCTGACCAAAAGAAGCAGCCCTGAATAAGCACGAGGGAACAAATTAAGTTTGTAAAATGTTGACTTGATTTCCAGAAGAAAAATTTGGACTGAGGGTTATAGTAATTGCTTTACAGTAATACACTAAAAGCAATACATACAAATAACAAATGATTCAGTTGGACAGCCACTTACTGAAAAACAGACAGAAAAGAGTTATTTTAAAGGAAGCCTGCTGTAAAAGCCAGTTTAAGTGATGATGCTGCTTTTCCCATGCAGTACATCACATCTGATTTTTGTGTCATATATCAGCGCAACTAACTAATAGCTGGATTGGATTGGTGGGTAAATGGGGTCACTGTGTTCACTTCAGTTCTGTGTTACTCTGTTTACTATAGGAATATTTAATACGTAACATAGACTATAGTAATTATATAGAACATCGTGGTTTTTGGGCACCTGTTTTGAAGTATTATTTCTTTCTTTTCTTTTCTTTTAAACTGGCAAACGAGTGGTGGTTGTGACACTTAGTCATTACATACACAACAGTGCTCTTACAGTAACCTGCTTTTTCCCTAGTTTTACCCTGAATGCGACTGCAGTTTCCAAAGTGAACATAATTTAGTATTACATAAGATGACTGAAAGCATAAACTCATTAGTAAAGTGTTTACGGTGGTCATAAGTCAATAGAAAAGTAGGGTTATTTTACTTCCATAAAATCTGATTTCTTTTTTGTAATGAGTGGGCTTTTCCTCTGCTGGAAAGATTACAGATTTAAAGCACTACTGCTTTTAATATACAATCTTTGGCCACCAACACCCACTAGCTTCATTTTAATAGCAAGAACTAACAAAGCATGCAGGGAGCCAGCAGTAAAGGGTAAATGGAGGCATTTCATGATTCCTACACCAGTAAGTTTGCTCGGTTGGTTTGTTTGCAGTGGTCTGTGTATTAGTTTTGATTTGGCAAAGTCAGCTGATGACAGAAAAGTGCAGTTGACGGTGCTGTCTGTGCCAGCTTGTCTTTTGGCATTTTGTTTGTTAACGTCACATGCTGCAAAGCTTTTAGTGCATTTTAATAAAATGAAAAGTTGTGCTCTAATTAATTAAAAACAACTTTACAGTAAAGCAGCAAAGAGAAAAGCACAGCTTCTCTCACACTTTGCTAAAATGAAGGAAATGTGGTAAGTTATTTTTTATTCATTTCTTAATGTTATATTTATTAGTTTATTAAATATTGTTAAGTACCAAAATGACTACTAATTTATATATACTATATAGTGCTAAGACAATTAAGGGGACACTTGAATGATTGTAACTATGATCTTTGCTGTGATTTTTGAATCCAGCCCCCGGAGGGTTAATGAGTTTGATTTTTACTGACTGTTGTTAGGTTGTTTTGTTCTTAACAAACTACACAATGTATGTCAGTAAATATTGTTTTACTTGAATACTTCATTTGTCAAGATCTAATGTGTAATGTAATTTCCCCCTTTTTATTTGGTACATTTTGGTTTTTCAAAGGTTGGAAGGGAATGATTAAGGCAAGTGCATATACAGTGGCATTGAGTGATGCCCAAAGTGATGGTACCCATGTCTATTTTGTGACTGAAAATACTGGCTCAGTAAATTCTTGTAACCTGCATGACAGTTATAGATTAACCTAAACATTATAAGAGGTTAGCAACTCTGAGATTATGCACACAATTTGTATTACCAGTTACTGTGCACATCTCTTTAGTATGGTAATGTCACTCCATTCCCACTTAATCTGCCTCTATTTGTTCCAGTGACTGCCCTTTGCAGTGCTCAACTTTATCTTTTCTTAGCAGAATGTGGTAGAACATGAACACGTTTGTAATTAAAACAGTCAAAAATGTAAGGACACAAAATGATTACTAATGCTGAGAAAACCTCATTGAAAGACCTCAGATAAGTACGCGCTGCTTTTGTCTTTCTCGTGGCTGAGAAGACCACAGCGGCACAATCAAGAATGTAAATGTTGAGGTCAAAGAAAGACAAAATGCACTGTGGTAGCTTAACTTTTTTTGTGTTATGTTGTTGTTTATTTATTTAGCGATGATCATACTGAGCACATTAAATTCTAAGTTCTGTTAACTATTCACCAATATATCTTTTTTTCCTACATGGTTTTGTTTGTTTTGTTGTGAAAACTAGTCTTAGCTGTGGTTATGACCATTCCAGTCAAACGTTAGACAAGAGTTTAAAAAAAAAAAAAAAAAGGAAAAAAAGAGAGAGAGAATAAGCCTTTAATTTAGGGCATGTACTCCAAATAAACTAATGTACGCATCTGTGTAGATTTATATAGGTGCCATCGCACACATCTTCCTTCTTTTACTGATGTATTTTATCAAGAGTGACACCAGGTAGTTGCTCCCTACTGGTTTAGCTGATGTGGCATAGATCATTGTGAGCACCAGTTTCCTTCAAATAATGTTTCAGATCCATTATTTTGTTGATTTTAAACAACTGCTCATGAAATTTGTGGTTCTAATGTGTAAGCTTTTCTGCTCTGTGTATAATCTGTTGTGTTGATTTGATAGGGCGTCAAGGACTGAAATATTTTTAAAGCTGTGTGAATTGAACCAACATAATTTAATTTAGAATTTTTGTGTCTGTGCATGATCACCATAAAAATATGACGCTAATTATTTTGATTTTGACAAAGTCACATTTTTTCATGTTAATTTTGCTGTTAGGACTGACATAAAGGTGATTGTGGGATGTTACCATGCTAGACATATAAATCCATTTCAGGTAGTCATTTTAATCATTGCAATTTGCAAACCTTTCAAGCACATTTTTTTTTTCATTCTAAGAAAGGTATTTATTAAAGAACATGTTTTTAAAATTTATATATTGTGTCATGTTTAATTTATAACATGACTGCAGCCATTTTGATCATTAGAGCTGAACCTTCAGTAACTGACTGACCTTTGTGCAGTCATTACACAGTCATTATTTATAAAGTGCATATTGCATTCCAGTCATATTAGGGCCCCTGCAGAATTGGGAAAGTATTTCATTTGTCATTTTCAGAGGACACCTTAAAGTCATACACCTGCATGGGGAATGATACTGAAAGCTGGTTTATACCTGTGTAAAATATCTGCAAAAACCTGTGTTCCAACCATATGGTACATTTTTAAAGTTTTAACATGAAATATTATATTAATCAACATCTACCCTTTAAATATATCCTAAATATCCTATATGGCCCCTCTTCAAAAAATAAATACTGCTGTTATGAATTCTGAAACATGCTGTTTCCTGCTTTCTCCTCTACAGATTGTTTTGTTAATGCACTTTGCATTGAAACTCAGTGGTCTGTACATCACTTGTTATCTACTGTATGTCATGTTTTATTTTTTTATTTTTATTTTTTTTTACTTTATAATTGTTATGTAATTATTTTTAAAAAGTGTCTAATAAATAAGCATTTTACATTGGCTAGCTGTGACATTATCTTTCATACTATATGGGTAATAACTAGGGCTGGGTATCGTCACTGATTTCTAGAATCAATTCGATTCAGATTCACAAGGTCCCGAATCGATTTGATCAATTCGATTTGAATCGGGGAAATGTTTGACTCAGACAGTCAGAAATATTATAATTCTGATCACTTATCAGTGCATATCTATATTTTTATATCTATTAAAAGAAAGCTGACACTTGCGAGACTTTATCAAAGGTGTAAGCATCACAGCAGATTCCTTTGTGTCGAAGTAACTGAGGGTAAAACACAGAAAAACATGAAGGAGGTTTTCCTGGTCTGGGTTTTTATAGCAGATGACCTTAAAAATATTGTGGCGAGCTCAGACAAGGAGGAGAAAGAGGTGACGTCTGGTCTTGCTTCCTGCAGTGTTAGCCATCGAGCACAGCCGTTTATTAGCATTCAACAGATGAACACACAACGCTAACACAACTGCTTAGCGCAACAACCAAAAAAGGCGCTCTCTCCACCCAGAAACACACAGTTGCAGAGAGAGAGCGTCACCTGTAACCATGGCAACATAACGCTGCTGCCTGGAACAACAGAACATAGCTGTCAAAACAAAACCCCAAACAACACTGACCCTCTACATAGCCCCCACCTAAGGGGTCAGTCGTCACCGACAACCCCATTACCCAACACGAAGTCCTGCAAATGTCCATGTGTCTTCTTTCGGCGCACCGACTGATCTCCACTGGCGGAGGAAGAGTCACTCGGATCAGAACATGGGATGCCACCAGCATCCCCTGCCCCGGCGGCTGCTGGAGTGAGCGGTCGGTACGGTGAGAGTCTGTCCTGGTGCAACACCACCATGCGCCCCGGGCCCGGCATGCAGTCCGCATGCGTGGTACACCACTTCTGTTAGACGCTCCACGACCTCTGCCGGCCCTTGCCAGTGACTGCAGAGCTTGGGGGACACTCCTCTCTTGTGAACCAGGCAGTACACCCAAACCTTGTCGCCAGGCACGGAAGCTCCCCCTCGGCACCTGGTGTCGCAGGCTCCTTTCAGTCAAACTCCGGTGCTGGCCTGGGCCTGGCAAGTGTGGTCATGAACCACCTGCGGCCGCTCCCTCCACCTCCTGTAGCAGTCCATGGCCGCCAAGGAAAGGCCCTAGGACGTCTACTCCCACTCTCTCCATCGGGGCCCCCACCTGGTGCTGCTGCGGGGGGGCAGTGGAGCGTTGAGTGGGGCACTTCCGTGCTGTGCAGGTGTCACAGCAGTGCGCATGAAGTTCCACATCCCGTCGACAACCAGGCCAGTAGAACCATCCCCTGAGAAGGCGGAGAGTTTTGGCTTTCCCATAGTGGCCAGCCCCCACTGAGCCGTGGACAAGCTCGAGCACCTGCAACCGCAACAACCAAGGCACCAACAGCTGCAGGAGACCCTTGCCCTGACGGGGGGCCCACCATCTCCGGTATAGGAGGCTGTCGTGGGTCTCCAGATTGTTGTACTGGGAGTAGTAGACCTTCACTTTGGGCCCCTGTCCTGACACCCCCGTCCAGCCTGGGCGTTGCGCCGCCTCCAGCCAGGCCCCCACCTGAACCAGTGTCGCGTCAGCCTTCTGCTCCCGCTTCAGCTGCTGCGTGGTCAAGGGGAGCCATCCCACTCCGCTGGATGTGGCCTGAGCAGAAGCCACGCCCAGTGCCTCCTGGGCCCGCTTCTCCTGTCCAGCCGGTGTGGCCGCAGACGGATGGGTTGAGCAGAGCCGATGTCGATGGTGCGCTGAACCAGCCGCGTCTGCCTGCAGTCTTCGTCACTAGCAGCAATGTTGTCCACATTCTCGTCCAGGAGGCACCTCAACCGCTGCCGCTGGTCAATGGTGAGACCTACGCTGCTGCGCTGCCACAGGTCATCAGCAGCTTGGGTTGTCTCGGTCGAGGGAGGTTTGTCGGGCCTAGAGGCTGAGGCTGGGGCTGAGGCGAGTAGAGATGGCCCAGTGCCACCGGCGTCCGAAGTCTGTTGAGTGGCAGCTGCCTGAAGCCCGACTTGTCGGTCTCTGGTCCCCTCCGTTCCCTGCTTTTGACCGCACTGGAGGGCCAGAGTCTCTGTACCAAGAGTGATAGCCAGCTTCGCGGTGTCAACGCAGGCCCCCAGCGGGTCAGCAGATCAAGGCCGATGATGCACTGGTTTTGGATGTCAGCAAGCCAGAAGTCCTGCACCAGCTCCAGATCCTTCACTCGGATCCGCAACAGTTTCTTCCCCCACATGTCAGTTCTCTCCCCTGTCACCGTCATCAGCTGGGTGTCGGTGACATGTCACCCATCACAAGCTGCCCGGACGTTCCAGGGAGCACACCAGGTCGTATTAGGGAAATGGTAGACCCCGTGTCCACCAGGACCTGGCAGGGCTGGTCCTCAACACAGCAGGTCAGGTTAGAGTCCCTTGATGTGCCCGACTAGGCCCACCACCATGCATCATTCTTGGAGGGGGGCAGGAAGCTGGAGTGGTGGTCCCCTCGCTACGCCGCTCCCTCTCTCGTTTCCCTAAAGCCACGTAGTTCTGGTCTTCGGGGCGGGCGCCAGGCAGTCGCGCACCATTTGGCCAGGCTCATCGCACTGGTAGCAGCGGTCGGTCGGTCGGTCGGTCGAGGCTAGGCCAAGGAGTACCTGCAGTGCATCTCCTTCCAATGCTAGTGCTAGGTGTGTAGCAGCCTCTTCATCACTCCAGCCACTATGCCTCGCTGCTAGCCATACTTGTGAGAGGTAGGGCTCTAGCGGGGTTAGCCCGTTGTATTTCGGTACCTTAGCTGGCTTTGTAGGCATCACTGCTAGCTGTCGGGGGCTCGGCGTATCAGTCGGCAGAGACAGCCCATGAAGCATTGTCCTAGCGTCTGTCGCGATGGGCCGCTGCTCCTCGACGGCTTGCTCCAGCCTCTGAATATCTCTCTCCATTACGGCGAGGGTGAGCTATCCCACTTCTGACACCAATGTGGCGAGCTCAGACAAGGAGGAGACAGAGGTAACGTCTGGTCTTGCTTCCCACAGTGTTAGCCAGGGAGCACCCTCCGTTTATTAGCATTCAACAGACGAACACACAACGCTAACACAACCGCTTGGCGCAGCTCTAGTGTAACAACCAAAAAAGGCTCTCTCTCCACCCAGAAACACAGTCGCAGAGAGAAAGTGTCACCTGTAACCATGGCAACATAACGCTGCCGCTTGGAACAACTGAACATAGCTGTCAAAACAAAAACCCAAACAGCCCTGACCCACTACAATATTGTGCAGTAGATTAAAAACGAAGTGAAGCAGAGCAAAGTTACAGAGGTTTGATTAGAGACACAGGTAAGCATTTTGCATAAAAGGTTTAAATTTGTTCAGTATTGAACACCAGAAATGAGGCTTTCTTATTGGAAGTAAGTAAAAAAAACAAAAACAGCGGCCGACACCGTAGACTGGTGGGTAATAAGTAGGGGTGGGTTTTGATTATCAATTTAGAGAGAGAGCTCTACATGAAGTGTGATTTTATCGTGGTGGAAGCAAAACAGCAAAAGTAAGAGGAAATTCGTGACAATGTTTATGTGAAGCGAAATGTGAAGCATAATTTGGATGGTCTTTGGCTGCTGGTTCAGTCAATATTGTTTGGAGAGAGATAAAACCTGCAGCTTCAGAATCTAGCGCAAAAAAAGACGTAAACACAAAGCACCTGCCGACGCTTCAAAATCAGTGAGCTGTCGGCTTTCAGCCCTGTGAGAAAGGCGACATCTCACTGATTTGGATGCGTTGGGTGCGCGTTTTGTGTTTACGTCTTTGTGCAGAATCCGTGTTCCTGCTCTCATTTACTGTTTTATACGGTGGCCCTGAGAGGCCAAACGGACTGCAACTTCAGAAAACACCAGCAATAAGAAAAACGCTGCAAAAGCACACAAAACACAACGGAAATAAGGAAAACGACAATGGAAATAGGAAAAAATAGAACGGATATAGGAAAAAAGAACAACAAATGGGAAAAAACACAACGGAAGTGTTTCTGGGGAGACAAAAACCCGATGGACCAGTTGCAGGAACCCAAAACATGATAGGCGTGTTTTATCATGATTCATATAATACTGATGACGGATTTTAGGCTAATAGTTAGGGCTAACACACTTACCTCTCATATTTCCTCACAAAACCGATAGATCCTCCACTTCTTGCAGCGAGCATTTCATATCGGGTAAGTTACCAAATACAAGCTTTCTAACATAAGTATTTTCATTATTTACTAGACTATCATTGTGGTTTCTGATGAGTGCAAAACCACATAGTTGCATGCATCGTGGCCTTTCTGTCATGCTTTCTAAGTTAGCAAGCTCTAAAGTAGTAATACTGAAATGTTTATGTTTATTTTTTAGGCAGAAAGAGCGATAATCCATTGAGTCCGGACTTTATTCCATCTTTTTTCAACTACGTTCTGTCTCCAGAGAAGAGGAGAAGAAAAATAAGACTGGATGTGTTCAACAGAAGACAGAAAGCAAAGCTACAATGGATAGAGCAAACAGAGATTGACAGACCATG